TGCGTGGTAAGGGCAGAGATGCACTAAGGAAAAAGCATGTGGTTTAGAGACAAAAGGATTAAAGTTCATCCTTTACTAGCTATGCATGAAATCTTGCACAAATTAACCTCTCTGAGGCTCAGTTTCTTCTACAAAATTGGGGAGGTAATGACATTTACTTTGTAGAAGATTGTGTGGAATAAATGAGTCCATTCCTGTGAAGGACTCGCCCCAGGGCCTGGCGCTGGGTCCGCGTTTGAGCGACACACAGCTCACAGTGTGAGCCCAGTACTGTGATACCCAGAAGCCGCCTGAGAATTTTCAAGGACCATGAACACGAAAGCTGATATTAGTTTCACAGATTATTATCCGCTTCTCAAAATGTCCTGGAAACCTGTGACCTATCTGAGAACTCTCTTCATTCAGAGTTTGAAGACCGGATTGCTCTCTGAGTGGCAGGGCACCTCCCCTTTCGCTGATTAGCAAATGAAGACTTTGGGGCCTGGACTGAGGAGGAGACTAACTCGGGCAGGGGGAACGAGGTGGATGACCTAGCTGAGCAGCTGTCCAGGGGACAGGCAGGAGCTTCCTCACTATGGCTGGAACAAAGATACTTTTGATGCTGGAAAACTTCATAGGTGGAAAATTTCTACCTTGTAAGTCATATATAGATTCTTACGACCCGTCTACAGGGGAGGTGTACTGCAGAGTGCCAGACAGTGGAAAAGCAGAGGTGAGTGTGTTCACTTAGAGAAGACCAGAATTGTTAAGTGTGTCGGTGAATTATCTGTAACTTCCTTTTCTAGAAGCAAAAGACTGAAATAGTCTTAATATGTTAGTGAGTTGTGTGTAACTAATTTTCTAGAAGCAAAGGGGGTGGGGGTGGGAGAAGGTGTAGACTTGTTAAACATGAGCAGAAGGCAGATTTTAGTTCTGGAAAGGTTTACTTTGTAACTGGACACATATGGTACATGGAACAAATCTCAGGTTTATTATATATAGAAGCAAATTGCTAATCTGGGCAACCTAAGACAGGGACACAATTCTCAGGCATTTCTTAATAGGTGTCTAGAAAAGTATTCACAAGAACTGTCTGTATTATGTGCTCCCTCTTCTCTACCGAGTGTTGCCTAAACTCGCCATTATATCCATGGATTTCTAAAAAATGTGTTACTTTACTAAAACACAAAATTTAAAAACCCAGGCATTTATTTTAGATTATCCTCTAATAACTCCTCACTTCTTCAGAATACCTAATAAAATAAAACTGATCAATGGTGAAATTCAATGGTGAATTTCAGTGGTAAAATTAAAAATCAAATTTCCATATATTTTTTGAGTTAAATTTAACAGCATCCTTTTTCTTACTCTATAGCTTACTGTCACACACATTAAAAATTTTTAGTGACGTAGAATTAATTTTATTGGAAGAGTTTTATAAAATATTTGAAATATATTTCATCAATTATCAGTTATTACACTGAGAATGCAAATATATCTGGGGTGACAAATATGGCTGGTGTATGTATACTCATCTAATGCCTATTGGGTTTTGATTAATTTTTTTTTCATTTTTCTTTTTTACTTTTTTTCCATTACCATTTATTCCCTCATCAATTTATTTTTTAAGATACAAAGAACTAGATTTTTTTTCTTTTTTCTACCCACTCATCTACTCATGGGCACTTGGGCTGTTTCCAGATCTTAGCTATTGTAAAGAACTAGATTATTTAAAAGATAACTGTAGCCTTAATATATAAGTATTATATGCAAGTTTTTGGGAAGAACTAACTATTATTTTTCTTTTGTTAATAATATTTTAAATCTATCTTGCATTAAAAAGAACCTTACCTTGTGGGCTAAAGTTTGGAAATTATTGGCTAACGTTGGTTAAACTGTACCCACACTCTTGTTTGCTTCTATTGATCTTGGATAGATGTGGGAAATCCACCTCTGTGTTTTCCAACCCTCCTCACCTCAGAGTGTTTTCCAAAGTGAAGTTAAAAATGAAAAATAAGACATTCGGTTGAAATATTTTTTGCAGCTAATGCTCATGCATTTTCAAGTTATGCCTGCACCTGGTAGTAGAGGATTAGGTATTTTGGATTTCCTAGCAACCTATTCATTCTGTTGGATCCCATAAATCCTATTGTTTTCTGGCTTGAAATATATGGTCACCATACAAACTGCATGCCCAATTTCCCCAGAAGTCACTCACCAGAAGTGCAACTGGTGCTGCTCACAGTGGTTCCCACTTTTTCAGTTCTTGCTACATACTTTACATTCACTTAAGCTCCTTAGTACAAATTGTCCCAAGTACGAGTCATAACCTACAAATTAGACTCTGTCTTCTTCCTTATTTTACAGAGGACAGGATGTTAGCACTCGTCTCCGATGCTTAGGCTTAGATGAGTGGTCACACACACACACACACACACACACACAGACACACACACACACACACACACGTGGTAGCATTTACATTACAGCGCTGCAGTCAGAAGCACAGACTGGAGTCAGATGGCCTGGCTTAGACCAGCTGCACCACTTGGTATCCATGGTCTTGACCTAGAGCTGCACCTCCTTGTGCCTCGGTTTCCTTATCTGTGAATTGGGGGTAATCATATCTACTTCATAGTGGTATTCTGAGGATTAAACAGACTGGCTTATGTAAAACCCTTAGTGTCTGGCATATAGTGAAAGCTTCTAAGTATTATGTTTTGCTAATATTGTATATAGTAGGTTAATATGTACTCTATATTAAAAGGAACATAAGCCATGGGGCATAAAACAATTTAGAAAATATGACTGGAACTGAGTTTTCTGCTTATGCAAAAGGTTAGATTTTCACATTGACAGCTGCAGGAAGATTAGGTGTTTGCACTGACTGCTGTAGGAACAAACCCTCCTCTTTCGGCTGGCGTCGGGGTGTCCAGGGGGCTGCATCTCGTGGTGGAGATCACTAAGGCCTGCGTCTTCCTTCATCCTGTCTGCAGGTCCATACCGGAGGCTCAGTTTTTGAGGGGAAACCAACATCTTCCCAGACATTTCTAATTAAGACGAGAATCATTTTATACCCCACTTCAGCTCATCTGAAAGTGGCTCTGTCCACATAAAAACAGGAGAGAAGTGTAGATTAGCTCTGGGGTAAGAGGGTTAGCATAGCTTAGGTGGCTGAATTGTCAGACCTCGTGATACAAGAAATAAGCTGCGGCTGCTGGAAGCCTTGGAACAGGATTCGGGGGCTGTCTGTGGGCCTGGTGATGGAAGAGGCTGTGATTATAAGGGTTCGTTGGGTCTGTAAGAGAGGAGAGGGTGAAACACAGCCTACAGATTTGCTCTCTGGAAGAGGCCTTGCTTAGACATCACCTGTGAGACGAGAAACGCAGCAGGCGGCCTGAAAATTTATTCTGCCTGAATGAATTGGCCTTGCACACACCTTCCCATACGCTATTTCCTTTTGGATTTAGCTCTAAAGCCCGGTTCCTGAGCTCTCTGTTCAACCACAGATACCCTTCTCTCCAACAGAGTCCTCTCCCCTGGTCAGAGAGAGGCAGGGAGCAAAGAGCAGGGACTGTGGTCATGCCATAGCAGGCAGGTCTTGGCAGCCACGAAGACCTGGGTTGGAATCCTGATTGGCCAGTTATTGGCTGTGTGACCTCTGGCAAGTTACTGTGCTTTCAGTTTATTTTAATCTGCAAATGGGCAAAGCAATACTCATGTTACAGAATTTTTAAAGGGGTTAAATGAAATAATTTGTCTGAAGTATTTAGTAGATTTCCTTATATATAAAAATCAATAAATGACCAATATGACCAGTCATTCCAAATGGGATGACAGGGATTTTGAACGAAGATTTAGACTTTATCAGACATGTCTGAGCTGGATTAAGAGTTTAGAGATTCTGTACATCTCAATGAAGTTTCCTTTCTCATATGATGTTTTTAAAAAATCTGTATTTTGAAATGATCGAAAATGTACATCTGTTGAAATTCAGTGACCTGACTGCCACATTCTGGATATGGTAGTCGAAATGGAGCGGTTTTCTTTGTTCTTGTGGTGCCTGGCTTTGCTGGTCACGTCAACACCACCTTGTGGGTGAGTCAGCACTGGGAAGCGCTAAATATTTGAAATTAGGCAGAGAAAAGATGCGGCTTGTATGGATTCTGGATTCATGCAGCCCCCTCTGGAGTAACAAGAGTCTTACTGTGACCGTCTCCCCTTCGCTCCTCAAAGGTCGAGGCTGCGGTGGAGGCCGCCAGAGCCGCCTTCCCGGGCTGGTCGTCGCGGAGCCCGCAGGAGCGCTCGCAGGTGCTGCACCGGCTGGCGGACCTGCTGGAGCAGTCCCTGGAGGAGCTGGCTCAGGCTGAATCTAAAGACCAAGGTGAGAGCGCGCGCCTGCAGAGCTGTCGCTGCCGGGCCTTTCCCGTCTTCCTGGCCCCCACTGCAGCCGTCTCTTCCTAAATGCTTTTGGCGGTTCATCTCCTTCCAGCTTGTCAGCTGATCCCTTGCCTCTTAACTGTAGTGGGTGGACTGAGCAAAACCACTCAAGGCCTCTGAGGGCCAAAGCTAGTCACCCGTGAACCCAAGTTCAACGAGCAGGGAAATAAATACACTCTGGTGCAAGGAACTGCAAATATGTATGTCAAAGGGCATGGATCTGGGGAGAGAGGAAGAACTAGGGTTGATCGTGCGATCTTCCACCAATTCTAAGTGAAGAATTTCAAAGCAAAAGTATTCTGAAGAGCAGTTGTGCAGCAAAGTTACTTTGAAAATAGCTGAGATACCACTGTTCTATTTCCAACACAGTTTCCCCATTTCCTAACTGCTTCCCAGAAGTCAAGTCACGGAGTAAATGTCTGTAAATCCTTGCAATAGTATCTGTTAGGAAAAGCCAAGATTGTTTAAAATTATATGAGCGCTGTAAACCAGCCTGGAGTTAAGAAGGAGCCTGACTCCAAGCCCTTAAGAAGAAAATATCCTGGCAGGCAGTGTCCCTGCATCACTAAAGGTAACTAAGTAACAACCCAGGTAAGCTTAGGTTTCTGGTTTTGTTCAACCAGAAGCTAGGATGTGTGGGGCCCGTGATGGGTGATCAAGTGCCACACAGCGTGCTGTGCCAGGGACTCCATCCGTTGTTCTGCCACGTGCCCATCTTAATGAGTCCACCATGCGTTGGGGGGACATTGAATAGACATCACGTGTTTATCAAAATGGATTTTTGTGATATGCAAACACAGCCGTCTTTACACCCACGATTTCAAACCCCTCTTTGTAGCATGTACAAAGCTTGTGATTTTGAAATGAGAGAGCTAGTGGGTGAAGTGGTAGCATCTGGAAAATTCATGACAGCTCTGAATTGTTCAGTCTACAAAGCAAAGATCATTTGACTCAATTTACCCCTCCCCCATCTTGTAACCTCACATCTAATTATTTCATGGTTTAATCAAACCATGATCAGTGCTTTGTTTATTCAGTGAGTGTCCGTCCCAGGCTGGAAGGAATGGAGGCATCTTCAGTGTGGGTTGGGGTATGTGTGTGATACCCCATGGTGAAATACACTGACTGTGCTTTCTGTTGTTGACTTTTTGTACAGGGAAAACCATAACACTGGCAAGAAACATGGACATTCCCCGGTCTGTCCAGAACTTCCGGTTCTTTGCCTCCTCCATCCTGCACCACACGTCGGAGTGCACCCAGATGGACCACATGGGCTGTCTGCACTACACCGTGCGGGCCCCCGTGGGGATCGGTAGGTGCTGCTCCCCGAAAGCCTGGGCCACAAGTGCCCATAGAGGTGCTCAGTCAGTTCTGTAGAATTGATCTAAAGGAACAGACTAAGGCAAAGGAAGGAACTGATTTCTTCTACTGAGACCGAAATATAATTTTGGCTGTAACAATTGATTTCTAGTTTATTTTCTTTGTGTGAAATTCTCTACTTATTCCTGGAAGATTCCCAAGAAGTTGGGAAATCACAAGGGAAAGAATGATGCCGAGAGTAAATTCACAGACCAGGATTTTTTCCCCCTTGTAATAAAAAATGTTGATTTCCAGAAAGTGTTGTGGTTAAGAGCACAGCTTCTGGATGTGTGGGGAGCAAGGCACAAAACCTTTGGGTGCTGCAGCACTCTTGTCTGGAAAAGTGGGAGAATAGTTTAATTTTGTTTTCATATTTTTTATATGAATTAAATAAATTAATAAATATGGAACATTTAGAACAGCGCCAGGTACGTGGTAAATAAGCCTTGAGTGAATTATATACTTTCCTCATTTCTTTGCTGTTTGTCCTTTGAGGACACATAAATATAAATATCTGCAATGACTCAAACTATCCACTAGATGTCACTGTTTCCTCTGAGAAAACCCTACTGTTTATTTTACTAGTTACGTTTTAAGACAGGATAAAAGAATGTAAGTTAAAAGGGAATGGGAACATCTTACCAGTTTGGTTATTTGAACCCTTTAGAAATGGTATTTTCAAGAAATTATGAGGAGCTCGAACATCCTCTAAGAAGTATGCTAATACATTATGCTGCAAGAATATTGTTAGCCCTTAAAGAAAACATATTTCAATGGGAAATGTAATAATATAAACTATGTTTATATACTTGTATAGCACAGACTTGAAGGCAGATTATAAATAGGGTGATTCCACTTATTGTAAGGTAGATTTTATTTTTACATGCTTCATGGTTGGGGGGAGGCTGGGCTGTTTCATACTGTTACACAGAGACACATCCTAGTTGTTGGTTCGGTTATTTATCCAGAAAACCTATCTGATCAGGATACAGGTGAGGACCTAGAGAGAATTTTTTTATGCAAAAATCCTCTGGTGCGCTAAAATGAATTTCACAGTCTCAGAACCTATTTGCTCTAATTTTACAAATAATTCTTAAAAAGTTTGAGAATTTATGTCTTAATCCAAGAAACTTTGAAGAAACAGTATCTGGACAGTTTAATTGTGAGGAGGGAGAGGTTTAGATACAGGTAAGGATCAGTTCATAAATCTCAAAACTCATCACATTATGGAACTGTTCAGCTCCGAAACTTATACTACTATTGTTCATAAATATAAACTTCTATGTATAAATTTATAAATTTACTGTTGTTCATAAATATAAATATAAATAATATAAATATAAATATAAAACTAAGTCATCAAGAAAGAGTGAACTGTGTTGCTTTATAGTTTTAAAAGGCACAGTTGTTTGTAATACATTTTAGAATGATTTCCCTGACGTTGACTGCAAATGAGCAAAGCTGGGGCTGTTGGGAGCTTAGCTTCCCGCAGCATGGAGGGGCTGCACGCAGTACCCCGTCTGCGGCCTGCCGAGGGGCGCGTCACCGTGGCTCTGCTTCTGCCCCCCGCTAGCGGGTCTGATCAGCCCCTGGAATCTGCCGCTCTACTTGCTGACCTGGAAGATTGCGCCCGCGATCGCCGCCGGCAACACTGTGATCGCCAAGCCCAGCGAGCTGACCTCGGTGACGGCCTGGATGATGTGCGGGCTCCTGGATAAAGCAGGTAACGGGGTGTTCGAGTTTGAGGAGGGGTTGGCTTGGGGGCTGTGCATTTTGTAAGCTTCAGTCCCTTTCGGGCCACTGACGTTTGAAAAGTTATTTTGGATAGAAATCTGCTCAGCAACAAAACAGACCCCACTGACATCTTTGGCTCCGGTCTCCCTGTTTCTTTCCTGAGAAGTCCCTTCATCCGCGGGGTGTGCTCACAGGACTGCCCCCGTTCAGCCCACGGCCGTGCCACGGCAGGGCAGCCCCTCCTCGCAGCGTCGGCTGGCGGCAGTGGCAGACGCTGGGCACTGAAGACAGGCTCAGAGAGCCCCAGCAGCCCAGGCACCAGCCTGTCCAGAGGCTCAGTTTAAATCTGATGTTGGAACCACTGGTTAATCTTGGCGAAAATAAGAACATGACTAGATGCTTCTCTGCTTTGTATAGCTATAGAATACCTGGTAGAAATAGCCCATGTTGAGGAGATTTAAAATACAGCCCCCCGTTTTCCCTGCCTTTGGAATCACTACTCCGGTGCTGCTGTAATATGGCTTCTTGCCCCCTTTCTGCTAATGTTGTAATCGCCACATTCAGGTTGCATTCCTGGTTTAGCTCCGGGGTGTTTAGCCTGACACTGCACGAGGGCTGGGAGGAAACAGGCTGGAGGCCTTGTCTTGCACCCCGTGAGGAAGCCCCTAATTGTCGGGTCTCTCAGCTTGTGTTTCCACGGCCTGGGTGGGAATGATGGGTGGGTGGCGGGGAGGGGGCTGTCTCTCTGGCTTTCTTCACGCCCACGGAGGAGGTACTGCTGGGCTCACCCGTGTCCACTGAGGGAGCTTTTGGGAAGAGCCCATCTCGCTCGCTCTCTACTGGATACCTTTTCTCTCTAAGCAAAAACATGTACATTGGCTTTCAGGAGAGGTGAGCCAGTTCTTTAAGATTCAGATGACAGGTTAAGCCATGCCTGTTTAGGGAAGAGCACTGGGCCTTATGAAGACCCTGGGTTAGCTTCCCGTTCCCCTTGTATCCGATCGAGGTCTAAAGTGGGTAAATCCCTCACAGCAATGACTGACCCACAGTAAGCACCCAGTAAATGTGAATCATCAGCACTTGCTGGTATTAACTCTCTGTGGCAAACTAAGCAGTGTGCAGAGGATACATACAGTGGAGCAGAAGACAGATACTGTTTCTGCCCTTAGCTAATTACCTTCTAGTGGTGGATGGGGGACAAACAGGTAAGTCCAAAAACACATGAGTAAATATATGCAGACATAGGGCAGTAGGGTCTCATGATAGAAAAGACTGGGGCATCTGTTTTCGGGTGTTCTTGATACTTTAAGTCAGTCCTAGAGTGTAATGGTGCTTCTATATCGTGGGACACAGGACCTTCAACTCAAAACTTACCTTCCTGGGGCGGGGGGAGCCCTCCTTCACTCCTCTGGGCCAAGACAGTCAACCTCTTCTCTGGATTTTGCAGCATTTACACTCCCCTCTACTCGACATTTTCACACTGAATTGTGACTCCTGGATGCCAGCTTGGAGCAGTGCTCTCTTCCTTCTTAGGGCTTGACCTACCTGAGGATATCTCTGCATCCTCAGACCCTGAGGCCCACTCAGTTTTATGGAATGAATTATGTAGAATGTTGTACCCTGCATTTTCTGGGGCAAAGCACAGGGAGAAATTACACCTAGGGTGTATGCTAGGCGGAGGTGATGCTGTAGTTTTTGCTTTACTATTACATTAGAGATGACCATAAGAGTTTACTCTCACCTATTGGACTTTCAAGGAGAATCTTCATGTAATCTAAAGTCCTTAGCATACTGAGAAGAATTACTGTAACTGTTTCCCATCCAGGTGTTCCCCCAGGTGTGGTCAACATTGTGTTCGGCACAGGGCCCAAGGTAGGCGAGGCCCTAGTGTCCCACCCAGAGGTGCCCCTCATCTCCTTCACTGGGAGCCAGCCCACAGCCGAGCGGATCACACAGCTGAGTGCTCCCCACTGCAAGAGGCTCTCCCTGGAGCTGGGGGGCAAGAACCCTGCCATCATCTTTGAGGATGCCAACCTGGAGGAGTGCATTCCGACCACCGTCAGGTCCAGCTTCGCCAACCAGGCATGTCCTCTTGGTGTTCGGTTTGCTTGTTTGCTTGTTTCTTGGCTTTGAACGCTGTTGCCCTGTCAAGCAGGGCCTGGCTCATCGCAGTGCAAAGCCAGGAGTGAGCAGGTCAATCCAGTGCTATTGCAGTGAACAGGGAATCACTACTTCCTGTTACTCCATTGACCATCTGTTCAATCTCAATGTCAGCCCGTGGCCTTGTAGAGTCGCAGCTTCTGTTCAGCAAGCTCCTTTTCTGGAATTACGCAGCTTTTATCAGGGAGCAGCCATGGGCAAAATGGCTGATTTTTGCTACTCCAGCTTCTCCACCCTTGTCTTCTTACAGTTGCCCCAGTTCTTCTTGCCGTCTAGATGTCCTGCCTCCAGGAAACCTTATCCCCCTCCCCAAGGCACCCCAAAAGCATTCTCACGCTTAGACGTAAGGACCAGAACCAGTCTAGAGCTGGTTTCTTGCCTTAGAAACATGGATGAGCTTCAGGGCAACTTTACATCTCTTGAAACTGTGTGGCAGATGTTTTCCCGGGAGCCACAGTTCTCATCAGAGCCTTCAAGGCTGTAGCATTCCAGAGGGTGAAGAACATGGAATCAGATATCCTAGACTGTGGGCTTCATGCAGAGGGCAACTGTGCCTGCCTCTGTGCAGCATATTACCTTCAAAGCCCAGGACAGCGCCTAGGATGGCGCAAGTGTGCATAAATACTGAGTGATTTTCTCCAAAGGCTATGCTTTTATTTTTTATTTTTTTTAAATCAAAAAACAAAGACTTAAGCCAAAGAGTTAGAACTTCCATAGAAGGAAAGATGAGTGGAATGACATGTCTTTATTCAACCTAACTTGAATAATTTGTATAATCTTTTGAACCTTCATTTCATTACCAGTAAATTATGGAAATGGCAATAATTATGCCTTCCAATAGGTTTTTTGTGAGTGTAGAATGAAAAACATTCTTTACAATAATTGTTTTCATGACCGTTATAATTGCAATTAGTTTTCTCACAGAAATACCTAGAGAAAGTGGCTTAGCAATACGTGTAATGCAGGTGCTCACTGCAGTGTGATCTCTCCATGAAGGCATGTGTCCTCCAGTCTTGTCATTTTCCTCATGTGCCATTCTCGGCAGGGTGAAATCTGCCTCTGTACCAGCAGGATTTTCGTCCAGAAGAACATCTATAGTGAATTTTTAAAGAGGTTTGTGGAAGCTGCCAGAATGTGGAAAGTAGGCGTTCCCTCTGATCCATCGGCCAGCATGGGAGCTCTGATAAGTAAAGCTCATTTGGAGAAAGTAAGTAAATCCCTGCCATGTAAGTTACAGGAAGAGTTCTTATTTGGCGAGAAGCTCCGGGAAAGGCATAGCACACATCCGTGCTTTCAGATACTGTTCATTACTACCTGATTTCTGGACAGTTTTGACCTATGGGGAATTGTCTCTGGATATAGATTCTAAAAACAGATATGAGTAAACAAATGTAGTCCAGATTTAAAACAGCATCTGCATGAAATAAATGCACTTGAGAAGTCAGCCTGGAGATACCACCAGAAGACTGCGAAAGGCAATTTTCAAAGCATAAAGGTCAAAATTTCCATAAGTAGCTGTTCCCAGTGGAAAGGGCGCTGCCTCTGGCTTACAGCAGATGGCATTCTGTAAGTGCCAGAACACACAGCCCAGATGATGTGGTCTTTAGTTAGTGGACTGACTAGTGGTGGCCTATGTGGGAGGAGCCAGTGATGGTCTTTGCGGGGGCGGCTTATGGAATTTAGATCTCTAAGGTCATTTTAACTTATTACCTGCTGTGACTCCTCCCAAAATAAGTCATAGATTTTGGTACTAGAGGGATCTTGTCTTCAGCTGCAGTAACTAAGGCTCACCAAGGAAAATGTGCCTCCATCAGCAGCAGCTAAGGGGCAGAGCCTTTACTTAAGTTTATAGAAATCTTGACAATGTACTGATTGGGCAGACTTACCACCTTTTAACTTTGACCTTCACGATATTGTGAACCACAGATGCTCTTAGGTGGAAAGGTACTGTCGCTTGATGGCATCTTATTTTTTCTGTTTTCTCAGTGAAACAGGAAGCAGGTGAGGAGGAGAGAAGGTGTTGGGGGTTTGGGGAAGGAGGGGAAGGGTGTGAAATAGTCTCGCCTGAGATCAGGAGAGAGGAGGGACTTTGCAATGACTGTGTTGTCGGCAGGCAGCTCCACGGGCCCACTGAGGCTTGTGGTCCCTTATTTGAAGTGAGGCTAGTCAGCATGGCCGTGTTTTCCTCCAGCCAGATTCACCTGCCAAACTGCAGGTGCGCAGGCGCGCAGGCAGCAGGCCCAGGGTGCCCATGGGACCTACAGTTGTGGATGTTGCCGCCTTGTGGAATGAAGAATTACCAGGTGCAAGATGCTTCTTTGTCCCCTCTTGTCCGGCTGTTCTGGACACCAGGCCTCCATGCCTGCCCCACCCACACATGCAAATACCTGGTGAAAACAACTTAAGCACATTCCAAAGGCTTCCTGTGGAGCAAAAGTTAACTTCCAGATGCATTTCGCAGTAGGCTCAGGGGCATGGTGTGTTCTGAAGTCCCATTGGCAATTCACCACTCACCTAAGGTTCAAAGTTCTCTCTCTATCCAATCAGCAGAGAAAATATTTTTCTATTTCTCTTACCCCCTCAGGGGTAGACTCATGTATCAAACATTTCCATATGTAAATGTATATATCATTATTACAATGAGTCGTTTCTGTAACCATTATTAATAAATATCTGTTGTTATCTTTGAGTCACTGGGTTAGCTTATTACATAATTTATTTCCCATTATAGTTACCTAGATATATTTCTGAATATAATCAGTAATGAGAATAGAAATTAGAAATTATTTGTTCTGGAAGCTCAGATATTTGAAGGGCATCCTGGCCTTTAATGAAATCTTTTTCACCATTCAACTTCACACTTTCTGCAATGGGCATAACCCCTTAAAAAGTGAGAAAATGGTCTTTTGTGTATTTAACTACTGAATATGCCTGAGTGTGAATTCTGGATTTCCTGTTTATTAGTTTTATGAAATGCTTACCCTTTCTGAGGCTCAGTTATATCATCAGCAAGTAGGGGATAACAATACATAGCTAGTGACTTTTGAGAGAATATAGTGAGGATATACGCAAAGCACTTATGCGAGGGACTGGCCCGGGGACATTAGCGCAGCACTTGCTCCTTTCCTGTGCGAGGCCTGAATGCCCGGTGGTGGGCACGTCTGCCCCTCAGGCTCAGCAGCTGAGCGGTAAGAGTCAACCTGTGATTTCTCGGCAATGACCTCATACGTCTTTCCTAGATGATTTCAAAATACTGAAGTTTTTGTTGCCTTGTGTGAAGGCAAATGGTAAGATGTTGCTAACCGTGGTTTTTACCCACCCAGGTCAGAGGCTACATCAAGAAAGCCCGTGCTGAAGGGGCCCAGATTCTGTGCGGTGAGGGAGTGGACAAGTTGAGCCTTCCCCCCGGGAATCAGGGAGGCTATTTTATGCTTCCCACCGTGATAACAGACATTAAGGATGACTCCTCCTGCATGAAGGAAGAGATATTTGGTCCCGTGACGTGTGTTGTCCCCTTCGATAGCGAAGAGGAAGTGATTAAAAGAGCTAACAGTGTTAAATATGGGCTGGCAGCGACTGTGTGGTCAAGCAACGTGGGGCGTGTCCACCGGGTAGCTAAGAAGCTGCAGTCGGGCTTGGTCTGGACCAACTGCTGGCTCATCAGGGAGCTGAACCTTCCTTTTGGGGGGATGAAGAGTTCTGGAATAGGTAGAGAAGGAGCCAAGGACTCTTATGAATTCTTCACTGAAATCAAAACCATCACCATTAAACACTGACCTTGGCTACTGGAGAAATTGTTAGGGTCAATGCCTGACTACACACAATCAGTGGTCCAATGTGGCGAATGGAAATACTGGTGTAAATTCCAGCCAGGTCTTGCTTGACTCAGCAGAAGGTTATCTCTAGCTTATCCTCAGCAGTTAATATTTTTACCTGCTGTCTATTTTCAAGGTGAAGACAAAGGAGAGAATACTTCTGCATAGGAAAACACAGAAAGGATGTCAAATAATTGTCAGGCTCCTCCTGTGTTGTGTCTTCATAGGATTAAAAAAATCATTTTGATTAGATTCTTGGAAATTCGCAGATAATCAGACTGTTTTGATTTGTAAGCGAATGGTTAAAAAAAATCTATAAAGCCAAAGAGAAACAAATCACCATAATTTCCTACCTTTGGGGAAATTGTCAAGATGGTCTCCCTGCCCATCAGCCAGCAGGATGGCTAATTGTTAACTGGCTGACCTCGTTATGCAAGGGGACCGTGAATGTCAATGATAAACACAACATGGAATTTGGCGGAGAAGGAATATATGGGAGCTCCCAATAAATACATCCATATAAGCACAAAGAAAAATAACGTAACTGTTACTTTTGGAGGAAACTTAGAAGAAGAATTTGATCCACTCCTACTATAGAGTCTAATCAGTTCTCATTCTGAGTGTGTGTATCTAATGAGACTCACAATTTACTAACCCTAAAGGAAGCAATAAATGTTAAGCAATTTCAGTAACCAGTGTGGCATGTGCTTTCTTTTGAATTGTCCTTCATTCCTCCTTACCCCCCAGAACTGAAATGAAGAAAATCGGGGGAGATGGTCACAAGAGTTTCAATTATATTTGTAAAGTTTTATTTCTAAGCTCTATGATGGGCATTCAGGTGTTTACTATACTATTTTATAAGTAGAAAATACAGGAGGGTTTTTTTGTTGTTAAAAAATGAGTGATTAATCAAGGGTCATCAGATATTTGGTAAAAGAAAAATGCCAGAATGTGTGAAAGAGCAACTGACCATGGGAGAAACAAGTAAAAGAAAGAAGGCAGGCATTAAACACTGAATTACTCCTCAGAGAGATGTGAGGGGATAATATGTACTTGCAGAATAGGCTGCTGTGAAAGGGAGGGAGCAAGAGGAACATGAAGGAGCCCTCCAACTATTGAACATTGGTTCCCAAATAAATTTTAAAAACCAATAGACTTGCATCATTGGTATGGCTGAAAACTAAATTAGTACTATGGAAGATCAGGTTGAGAAAATAGCTCAGAACGTAGAGGATGACAGGAAGGAAAACTATCAGAAAGAAGTGGAGATGGAAGATTAGATCTAGAAAGCTCTTAACATGTAACTAATCCAAGGTGACAGAACAGAGAAGAATCCAGTAAATAAGAAGATAATTTTCCTGAACTGAAAAAAAGATTTTCAGATGGAAAATATTCACCATGTGCCAAGAACTATTCCTTTGACATTTCAAAACTCCAAGTATAGCCCAGCTGGTGTGGCTCAGTGGTTGAGCATTGACCCATAAACCAGGAGGTCACGGTTCGATACCCGGTCAGGGCTCACGCTGGGGTTGTGGGCTCGATCCCCAGTAGGGGGCTTGCAGGAGGCAGCTGATCAATGACACTCTCATCGTTGATGTTTCTCTCTCTCTCTTCCTCTCTCTGAAATCAATTTTTAAAAAAATTCCAACTGTAAAGCTTGCAGAAAGAATTAACAGGATACCTGCAAAAAACCCCCATAAGATTGAAGCAATAATATTGGTGCTAGAAGGATGTCCCAGAGCCCTTCGCTTCAGGCTTTGCAGGTGAGGGTCCCAGGGTTAGTGTTAGGAAGACATGTTCATGGGTGTCTAGAGCAAGCCTTCTGGAATGTGTCCCGGGGTTCATCAGCCTAACAGTCCTGAGCATTCAGCTTGTAAGTCCCTGTTACCACACTTGTCAGCACCCCAGTCAGTGCTGACTCACCCGGGACCTGTGCAAACCTTCGACGTCACTACTCTGAGGCTTCTGCCAAATAGATGATAGGCAGCTCTTCAGGGAAGAGTCATGTTTCCGATGGCAGCTGGTCATTCATCAACTGTCGGGACTCTGCCTACTCTTGCCTGTCGGCCAAGGACACGCCATCCATGTACTCTGATTACCTTTTCCACCCATACCACATTGCATTCCTTATCCGCATTCCTCAGTCCAGTCTTATTTCAGTAGATATGATTCTACTCCAGCCTCATCTTAAAACTGCCATCCCAGTGTGACTCAACAGTTCCCAACAAAGCAGTGAAAGCTACTCCTTGGGATATGGAGGACTGCTGGAGTCACTGAATCCTAACTGGGTAGAGTGGCCAGGGATCTTGAGGTGACCCTCGTAGCTCTCTCCCCACTCCCAGATGGACAGCCGAGGCACAAAGAGGTCTGCTGACTTGTCAAAGCCCTTACAGCAGATAGTGCCTCTAACTAAGGGGGATAGGAGGTCCAGAAGTGTGTATACTAGCATCAGAGAGGTAGAGGAAGCATGAGGACAGTGAACAGTAATTGTAAATTCTGGAGTTTTCTCCCACAGATAGCATCCGGCTGGTCTCTGTCTCTACCGAGAACAAGATAAGGGGGAAAACAGCTTCTTATTTACAGCTTGAGTTTATATGAAAACCCAGGAGTACTTTCTTCCTTTATTTCTTATTGCAGTACCGATATTTCTTGTATAAGTCACCCTCCTTCCAGAAATCTCTCTTGGCTACATAGTACACGCTCACGGAAGTGCTTTATTTTTATGTTTCAAGCTCAGAGAGAGTGAACTGTGGAAGAGGGTGGAAACCCCTTTTCTGGAGGACTCTGAGCACTGTGGTGCCCCTGTTTGGGGTAGCTGGGCTGCCGGGTGGGGTTGGGGGAGCAGTCTCTGATTTCAAGTGCTTTCTGTGACGGCATGAGCTGCGGGGCCCCGTTGCACTGGGTGCCGATGGCCTATGTGGGAGCAAATTTCTTGTCTGTGACAAATGCTCTTGCCGCAGCATCTCATCACATATGTTCACATATGAGATCACAGGGTCTCCCACCGGGAAATAAGCAGCAGTAATTCAAAGAGGAGAAATCTGATTTTTATGCAACTGCCTTGAGAAATCACAACACGTGAGATAGGTTAAAACTGGAAGATCAGCATATCTATCTCTTCTGAGATATTTCGACTATTCCTCTAATGTTTAAAGTTCAGCAAAAGGCATGCTTCCTTCCCGAGTTCTTTTTGCACTCATTTTAGGGATCTTCCGGGAAGCGCACACTCCCACTTGGTAGTAACAAGTCACCAGAAGGCAGTTCTAGGGGGCTATTTATAGCTCTCCGGCATCCCATGGACCTGGCTGGGACTTGGGCTGCATTGGTGGTCTGCAGACAGACTGAGTTCCATCCCCAGGGGGGCTATGGCCCTGTTGCAGGTGGAAGCAATAGAAAGCGCTTACTGCAGCGTCTGCTCTGAGCCGAGATGCCTGAGCTCTCCTCCCCTCTCCTGCCCCTTCCTCCGATATCCTGAATAAAGGGGAGAGAGTTCATATCTGGACAGTGTTCTCAGAAAATGTACTGCACCCTTTCCTCCGGATGTATTTAGTGCATCCTAATCTTCAGAAGGACTAACCCTCTGAACTTTAAAGATTAGAAATTAATAAGACAAGAAAATTCCTTCTCTTGATTTCTTGTAACTGTCAAAAATGATAAGTAGTGGAAAAGTTGCTTCAGGTCAGACTTCTCACTCTCCCTGAACCTTTGCACCCGTATTGTTTATAGAAAGAATGTAACATCCTGTGGCATGAAGAGGTGAGCACTGCTGTTTCTGCCTTTGGACTGCTTTGCTCTCATAAGCGGAGGGCCAGATAACTGCAGAAACCTAAACAATTGCGATTACTTGGGACTGTCCAACACTCCCTCTCATTCACCTCCCCTTCACTGCAGAAAACACCTCCTCTTGTCTTGGCAAACCTATTTTGGAAAAATGATTTAAATCTCAGCAGCATTAGATAGCTTTTTATGTCTTATTTTTATGGCCTTAGAGGTCAACCATACAGAAAGCAACATTTAATTCTCAAGCTCTGAAGGATCTGAAGGTGGCCCAGTCCTGTTTTTTCTTTTTTGATGATTTATATATTTTGAAACATGTATAAGAGTTATCTCTGTGCTTCAGATGCAGTGCACTGAAAATTTTCCACAGAGTACAAACTCCTTAAAGCCAGGGAAAGTTTTTCCTATTAGATGCATGTCAACATTTCTGTAATTCCTATAGATTCTAGATCCATGTCTTTGACAGAGTAGAGACTGAATAAAAGTTTACTGTACTAAATTTAATAAAAATAGAAATCACTGTATGACTGTATGAACTGTCTGGTGTCCTGGAGAAATAATACACCTGTTTACAATGAGGCTTAAACCAAGTTGTAATAATTGTTAGTCTTTACTAATTTCTGAGTAGGCCCACTCATCCCAGAAGCAAGAATATAGAAGCCAGGTGTCCCGGCTCATCAGACAAGGCAAAACCTGGTGCCAGGTGCTTATTTCTTGCTCAAGAGTTGTGGCCCAAGAGGTTGGGAATGAAGCCAGGCCTCAGACCACCACTCAAGCAGGTGCGAGCTGGCCCGGCCTGTTCTTCAAGAATATTGTGTTCAGAATTCATGAAATGTGACTCTGGGGGCCTAGGCTTCCTGTGTGGCTGAAAAGCAGAGGTTGCCTCACCACCGCCTGACAGCTCCTAGAATGAATATTAGAATTTCTGTAATGCTCTTCACCATGGGTGCCTGGACTCTGAAGCAGAAAAGATGCTTTTCAGTTGAAAAACCTAAGAGAGAGAGATTAAGTACCAATAAATCAATCTAATAAGAAAAAAGATTAGGAGCATGAACTAACATTTTTGTAGGACTTTGAAATTAGGAAAAGTACTGACTCAAGTATTTTGTATTAAACTCTCTAAAGCAATGAATTTATATTTTATAAAATGAAGCCTTCTAGTGGGATGATCTGGCCATTTAACAAGGAGGTGACATCATGGGCCAGAAAAGCCCCTGGAGCCAGAACATGGACATATCTTCTACTTTTAGCTCTTAAAAACCTCGAAGCCATTGTTTCCTCTTTCCTTTCCTTTATTCCTGTGTGTGTTCTGTTATCATGGCAAATGTAAACTTTTGAATTTGATCCATGCCTGAGAAACAAAAATTAGATGAACATATTTTTCATCTTTTGCAGGGGAAGAAAAACTTTTCCTCTACCTTCTTAGGATCTGGGCCGGGGGAAATGTAAATTAAACTGACAAAAACAGGTTGACAAGAGAAAAGGCACAACATTTTTATTTTTAATTTTATTTGCACTTGAGCTCCACAGAAGAGAAGTGAAAACAAAGAATCGGACTCAGGGAACTTATATACCGTTTTAACAAAGGCAATGAATTCTGGAGAAGTGACTAGACAAAATTGTATATGGAAAAATTAATGGTATCTAAGGGTTATTTATTAAGGTTTGTTTATGCAGACTTATTTAAGGGCTGTCTTCGTTTTTGGTGATCAGGGTTGTCCTCCTCTTCCTAGCATGGGAATGGGCAGGGGGTACCTTTGCAAGGGGAATTTATGCCCTCCTTTTAGATAGAAAAAAGGAGGGCAGAGCTCTTTCTGTGTCTGTTTTTTCTCAGTTGTTTTCAGCTCCAAATAGCCTTTATTCTGCACTTCCAGGTTCTAGGCTTACTCTAAGAATGGAAATAAAGA